AAGCAGTGCAAAAAGCTGTAAGGAGAAATAGTCAGCTCACGTCGCCATGTCCGGACAGAACACGTAATTTACGCCTACCATAGAGGTTTCACATTTTTACATTTCCATCTGACGTATTGTCTGATGCGTTTTAGAAGCGTGCATTCAGCGCTCTTCAGTGTCTGATTCCTGAGTGAACTATGGAAGTGAACATTGATGAGGACTACAAGTGCCTTGTTGATAAGCCTCTTGAACGGGTGAAACAAGCCGGGCGTCCTCAATCTCAACGAGCAAATTCGAGAACGCCCACAGGTAAAGTAGTGCTGCTAGAAAAGAGAAGAAACATGAAGATGCATAAAATTCAAATTGTGGAGCACTCCTTTCTCATAAATACATTCAACAGAGGCCTGAGGAGGATCTCGACAACTACAATTGCAGGCGGAAGGCTCGGATGGTTCAGAAAGGCAGAACTTGAACTACCGGCAAAAAATGTTACTGTACTATTCCATGACGGCAGCGCTGAAAGACGAAAGTGGAGTCGGATGATGAGTTAGGTATGGAGAACATTCATAGAAAATCTACAAATCTGTTTGCATCATATGCTGGCATTCCACATTCACAGGCGTTCGCTAGGATTATCACTAATCGGCGAACAGGACTTGTCGACAGGGAGCGAGCTGGCTTCCGAAGTGATTACGATACGACAGACCAAATTTTTGCCTTAAACCAAAAAACCAGCTGCTTGGAAGTGTGAGAATTTCTCGAAAATCTAAGGCATGAAGTTCAGGAATTTGTAACAAAACTTTAACCATCGTCTAAAACTCAACAAAATTCAGTTATTATTTAATCACGTAATAATCAACAGATTTACTGGTAAGGTTCATGCTGCAGTTCGCATTCATTCCCGTCGTCTGAAAATTTTTACAACATAATTATTAAAATCTTAATACCAAAAATAATAAAGTCGCTCGGACAACTGATGATGTAGGTATTCCATGTCAGTGATATTAATAGGGTGTTCTCACAGGCAAGGCGCAGCAATGCCAGGCTTTTTCGAGCTTGGATTCTGCACCTTCAGCTATTACCTGCCACCGGTTTAATATACGATTGTAGTGTATGTAGTGGGAAAATGTTATACAAAATTGTTTAGCAAATATGCTGTAGAGAGTTTACGCATAAATGATGCTTATTCGAGTTCGAGTTATACGTTTAGTATTGGTCGTTTGAGGAGACGACTCTGTTCTGACCGTAAATTTCAACTGTCAAAAATTTTGGATAACAGATGGGAAGTGGGAAAGAAAGATCAGTTGTTGTGGTTTGTGGAAGTTTTCCTAGATAAACACTGGGATCATGAAAAAATTAGGGTCATTTCTCATAATTTATGAATAAAGCGGAAGGATGGTGATCTTGTACTCAATGAATTTACATCAGTAAGCTTTTTTGTACTTTTGATCTTCTGTCACACCTGACCCCCAGAATCAGAATTAGAAAAATATCTGTCAAAAAAATCAAAATCCCCCCGTATTCGTTCTTTGTGAGAGGTGAAGGCGCTCGGGAACTAAGCGGAATGGTAGTAACTGCCAGGGGCAACTACCCATTGACGAGATTGTCGGTGGCTTTTTTCGAGGGTTGGGGATAGCGGGTTTGACCGCCTGGCATATATCAGTGCCAATTTACCGTCGAGACAAATGAACATCAATCGCAGAGGAATTGGTTATTCCAGAAATACCCAATAGATTTTGAAAGTTTTTATCGAAAATTGACTTTCTGCTTATTATAGGATCAAAAATCTGTTTCGGTTTTGCTACGAATTTTTCTGCTTATCGGGTTCAATCAGTTTTGTTACTGGCCACAAATTATAACTTTTCGAATTATGATTATTTGTGGCTGTTTGTTGTTGCTTATTTATCTC